GAGAGAGAGAGAGAGAGAGAGAGAGAGAGAGAGAGAGAGAGAGAGAGAGAGAGAAATGTGACGCATGTGTTTTTCTTCGATCGTTCTAGGCGATGTCTGGCGTGCGTAAATTGGCAGAGTCCGTGCAGACGCTGAAGACTGTGATGGGTCTGAAGATCGAAAAGGAAGCCAAGACGGTAAGATAGATATACTGTGCAGCGCGCATCGCACTCCAGATAGATTGCACGTGGATTTTTGACGGCTACTTCATTAAGCTTAATAAAAACCAATAACGTCGTAATATTGGTTTAATAACAAGAAGTCTGTCTGCTGCAAGGTACGAGGGTCCCCCCTTCTCCCCCTCTTCCCCTCCCCTTCTACCCCTCCCCCTCACCCTCCCCCTCCCTCTCCCCCTCTACTTGGATGTACGGCGATGTGATGATTCTAACCTGTTGCCGTCGTTTTTCTCCTTACAGCGCGAGCAAGCCATAGAGAATGTCAAGCAAGATATCAGCAAACTATCGACGAAGAACTAGCGTCCATGTCAGCCGTATGTGTCCGTGCAAAGACCAGATGATTCTAACAAATGTTGTCTGAAGTTGTATGTATGTGTGTTGTTTGTTTGTCTGCGTTCTCGATATGTTGCTAATGAATTCTTATATAGACGACATTCAGGGTGCGAGTGTATTTAATAATTGCTATATGACAAACATGCATCACTGGATATCAGCAGCCTGCGTGCGAAATGCCCAGCGTGCGTGTTGGTTCTGCTGCTGCTAATTACTGAATACGTCCAGGTGCGAACAGACGCACTGCAGCGCCATCAGGTGTGCGTTGTGCGAACTATATAGAAATTGTTGTATACCTTGTACATTGTGATGCAAGTTTATCTTTAATTTATTTCTCAGTTTAGAACGCGTTTGATCTGTGATATTTTAATATAGCTTTGATGATGATGATGATGATGATGATGCTGATGATGCTGATGCTGATAATGATGACGACGACGATAACAACAACAACGACGACGACGACGACGACGACGACGACGACGACGACGACGACGAACGACGACGACGACGACGACGACGACGACGACGACAGCGATGCTGATGGGGAAAATGTGCTTCTGTGTAGACAGAATATGAAACGATTTTAAATCTGCACTGAAAAATGTGCACAATATCATGTTTTTCGTGTGGCTAGAGAAAAGCCCCACGGATGAAATCAATATTTCTCTCTCATCGTGTGATGTCGCGATGTAAATTTTTGCGTACCTCGAAGCTCTGTTCTAGGATCACAGTTCTAGGAAGCACACCGTGAAACCTAAATCAGTTCTGCTTGAAGAAACCACGTCGCGTTTCTTTTCCACAGACGACTATATATATATATATGTGTGTATATATATATATATAGGTGTATATATATATATATATGTAGGCCCCTAAGCTAATAACGGATCCCTTATTATCCTTGATATATATCCTCACGCAATATATATATATATATATATAGGTGTATATATATATATAATGTCTTATCCCATATACACCCTCACCGCATCTCTTTCCTCGGCACTTTTCATCGTATACGTACTAACTGCATTGCTATCGTATCCCCGTTAGCCTATCCCCTATATTATCCCTTTACCGGGATCATGGCAGAGAACATAGGTTCTAAATAATACCCAGCTAATACAGACACACAGCTTCGCTGGCTAGAGAGACGACACGCACACGCGCGCACATACAAACACGCACTAGCGCACACACGCACGCACACATGCAACACATACACACACGCACGCACGCACGCACGCACGCACGCACACTCGTGTCTAGACCGTGGCGCGGCTATGTGCGGCAAACACCCGCAGACGCCATCGGAAGCAGCGGCGTCGATGCGGCGGTGATGCCGCGGTGATTGTTCTCCTCGCCAGCTTCCCGTTTAGCGAGCAGCGCAGCGTGCAGCCAGCTCTACTCACAGCCCGCATCTAATAGAGCCGGCTCGATCCTTGCAGCTCTCTCTCGTCTGCGTGTGTTACCTCGGCGGGAAAATGTCAACTCGGTCTCTCGTGCGCGCGAGATCGAGACGCACACCGCGGGTCAATAGACGTGCGTGGATGCTTTATTTGTCGCCGTGGGATATACGGCGAGCAAAGCGAACGACAATTACAAAACAGCTTGAGTTCGGGGAAGGGAAAATAGACGGGGAACGTTTTCGCGCCCCCCTGTCTTGTACGCGCTGACGGTTTATGGATTGGCAGGCAGCTTCATGTAGATTGTGTGTGGATGATTAGGGTTGTTGATAGATTCGCAATGCTCTATCGTAGAGGCAGACACGTGGTGAAGGCATTAGATCACGCAGCACATGGTTGAAGCTTTCACGGTTGGGAATTATCGGCCGATTCTCACGTTTTCACGCGGAAAGCGGGTTAAAATCAACCAGAATTCATGCGTCAGAATTCTCACCCGTTAAAGAATCTTAAACCATCAGAATCTACACACCAGAAGCATTCAAACCCCCGTCAGAATTCCCCCGATTTAAAGCATGTTAAACCCACCAGAATTCAAACGTCAGAAACGTAAACCTGTCTAGAATTCTTCCCATATAAAGCATATTAAAACCACTCAAATTAAAACGTTAGAAGCATAAACTTTGCCAGATTTCTCCCCAATGTAAAGCATGTTAAACCACACTAGAATTCAGACACCGAAAGCATGTGAACCCCAACTAGAATCCCCCCCCCTCTTTTAAAGCGCGTTGAGATCTGCCATAAGGACGAAAAGTTCGCCTCGAGTCAAAGAAACGTTAGCTTCGTCTCTCTCTCTCTCTCTCTCTCTCTCTCTCTCTCTCTCTCTCTCTCTCTCT